TATCTAAGATCTTTCTTCTTGCTTTCCCACCAATATCCTATATGCATTCCTCTTGTCCACTATTCATGCTACATGCCCTGCCCATCTCATCATTCTAATTATACTTCTGCCTTCTCTATTTTAATCTGTTACGTTTCCTTTGGTCTGTCTCTTCTCCCCCTACTAGTATGCTGAGACTGCCAACCTGTCTTTGCTTTTGCTCGTGTTAATGTCTGAGAGGTCATTTTAATTTTCCATCGGTGAATCACAATGTTGACAAGCAAGGTTCTTTTTCTGATGTCGACTGAGGGGAACTCGTTTGACAATCTCATATGGGCTGTTGTTTTTGGTGCTTTTACTCTCAGTACACTGCGTATTGCAATCCTCGTCTAGTTTCAGTGAATTTCTTTCAAGATTGCTCAAGTTCCTTCCTCCTCTCGCAGAGTGCCAGAGAATGAACTGTGACTCCACATAGCACAGCTGCTTCCGAATCTGTTCAACAAGCTGTGATGTAACAGTGGGCCAGCCATGAGGTGCCACGTGACATTGTTCTTAACCTATTACATTACATAGCACTGCCACTTCTTATCTTCAAGTTAGTGCCCGTTTCCAAGTAATAAAAGATTATTTGTTGTTTAGTGTAACTTTTCCTGTTTCATCGGTGATATAACAACAGCATTGCTTTGTAGTATTATCCATCCAGGATAAACTTTGAGCTTAATTATGATTTAAGTGGGTTGGACCTTGAAATACCATTTGTAACATCGTGTGTATCGGAAATTTAATTTTGAGATCTGAACCATGAACTAACTTTTTGGAATCTAGGGAGCAGTAGGTACCTAATCAAAGTACTATCCCAGCATTTACCTTGGCAGACAGGACAACAAAGATCGTTAGGACAGCCAGTACACCAGCCAAGATTCAAATTGAGCCTCTTTCAAATATTTTAAATATGAGTCTAGAGCATTACAAATATACCAGACGTCTCAGTTATAGCCATACTGGAACACTTATGCTACATTATAAACTTGTCTTGAAATGAGTTTAAAACATCATCATATCCTAATAGTCCTATCTTTAAAAATGGCAGGAGTTGAGATAGCACAGTTGGTATAGCGATGGACTATGGTCTTGATGGCCATGGTTCAAATCCTGGCAGGAGCAAAATTTCTCTCTTAGACACATAATCTAGGCTGGCTCTGGGGCCCATGCAGCCTTCTATCCAGTGTGTAGTGGGAGCTGTTCCCTGGGGGTAAAGCGGCCAGGGTGTGAAGCTGACCATTCCTAACTAATGGGTAGGTCAAGAATACGTGGATGATTCCATCCACTCCCCATACACCTTTATGGCATGCTTAATTAGTTAAACAGGGCAAATTTTACCTTACAGCTCAGTGGCATAATGTTTCTGCTGTGCCATGACATTTTTAATCTTGGTACTAGATTGAGGTGAATGGTCATCATCAAATGCCAGGGAAGGAGCCTCTGATATCAACTAGACAGGAGGCTGGGAGTGCCTGGTCTGGATGCTGTAGCTCAGGATCACATTTCTACCCCTCCTACAAAGGAAACATGACTCATCCAGCCCACAGCCGTCACTATACTGACTGAGCTGATATAATTCTGTTCATATCACAGTACCAGTTTCCTCTGTCTGAAAATTGTCATATCTCAAAATTTTGTTTCCAACATATTTGTAATTTTGAATGCTCAAACCATGTCTCTGTGGATACATTCACGAAGGGGGACCCAAAAATAACCGGAAACGACCTGTTGCACGCGCATGCTTTGTAGTTACGAGTTGTGCTGCTAGGTGGTGTTAGCTGGGGGTCTCCCGCAACTGTTAGTGAGCTGGCGTCAGTCTGAGTTAAGTGGTTTGTCTGTGGTGCTCTGTTGTGTGCGTTCCTGTTTCAACCCTTTGGCGATTAGTGAGATGGCCGACCAGAAGGAACAAAGAGTGTGCGTGAAATTTTGCTTTCTGTTAGGGAAAACTGCACTTCACTCTTCAAGTCGCGGCAAACATTCACGCGGTTTTCTCTTTGGTCATCTCCGAGCAAGCGAGGAACAAATTTTGCAGACACCCATCTCATGTGCAAACCTTCGGTTAAAATTCGCTGGACCGTGCTCCATGAGATGTTCGTTTCCTCAGAAAGTTGGCCAATGGTCTTTCGACGATCTTCATCAATTTCACACACACTCTTTGTTCCTTCTGGTCGGCCATCTCACTAATCGCCAAAGGGTTGAAACAGAGCACCACAGACAAACCACTTAACTCAGACTGATGCCAGCTCACTAACAGTCGCGGGAGGCCCCCAGCTAACACCACCTAGCAGCACAACTCGTAACTACAAGGCATGCGTGCGCAACAGGTCGTTTCCGGTTATTTTTGGGTCCCCCCTCGTATGATTTATACCCAACTGCATATTTCCAACCAAAGTGGCTAGTTATTGCTGTAAAACTGGAAGCTAAATGCAGATCTTGTTGGCCTGCACACTATTATCCTCACATTACACAAATTATAGTAATAAATATATTATATTAAAGAATCTTAACAGTCATGACTATTTATGGTAATATCTTCTGTGACATGGCACTGTGTACCCTGACAGAAGTTCACATGTCTCAAAGGAACATACTGCCTCCATCTTCAGTGTTAGAGTAAGCCATCGGGGAGGTGTGACATGAACAGAGAGGATGGCTTCTGTTGAAATCTCTGATCTATATCTAAGAAAATGCAGGAAACAATCCTTGCAAAATTTCTAGTGATAAGTTCTTCAAATGGATGCAGTTGATGGCGATATCTTGCCACTGTCTTCCTTTCGTGCTCCATTACACTCCACTTAGCACCCCTGTTACTCTACAGGTCCTCCTATGGCTCCCACCAGTCACTTACACCACTACTTCTCCTGCCTTCTCCCATGTTCCTGCTTATATTGGTAAGGCTCCCGCCCAGGGCTGGAACCAGGTTATTCACATGTGGCTCACTGCACCTTCTGTTGGCTTGCTGCTGGTTTACATTACTCTTCAGCCATTAAGATGGAAATGTCAGTAAACTTGTATGAGACAAAATGGTGTCACATCTCACAAGACAGCACTCTGTATTAAAGTAAAGTAAGTGTTTATTGGCCGGTCACGGTAGCCGAGCGGTCTAAGGCATGCACTGTCTTCGCTCGCTCGGAAGCCGGGATCGTGGGTTCAAATCCCACTCAGGGCATGGATGTTTGTGTGCGTTTTTCTGTGTTTGTCTACAGGTAGAGGCCTTGCAACGAGCTGATCACTTGCCCAAGGAGTCCTACCGTATGTGTAAGATCTAGTAAACCGAAGTGAAACGGAGTGTTTCATGGAGGTATGCCTAGGCCCAAATTGGGGCTTTAGCGCCAGAGAAAAAAAAAGTGTTTATTGAGTTGTTTTGTTACAATACATAAGTCTGTGTCCACATAACACAGAGTTCTAGTGGTATGCAAATTCTCAACATCAGTTTAATTGAAATAAATTGAACTGCTGTTCAGACTTTATATTCTGCTTTTTTGCTGTCTGTGTTCGATGTCGGTTAATATCACATCGTCTTTTCTTTATTGCTTACCACTGCATGTTTCAGCCTAACCAGCCATCATCAGGTGTACAAGTTGTTGTGATAAATGTTTCTGTTGTAATGTTCTGCTTTTCATATGCAATTTCCTCAGACTAATTCTAGGCTGTTAATAAGGTGAGGCTATGCACATGTTTTCTTTATCTGTAATATGTGATGAGTTAGTTTTATTTTCTAATTTAATGTTTCTGTTACCTTGTAACCTCAAGTGAGGTTTGTGCCCCTCTAATTTTGTTCTCACATTTGCATATAGTTTTAAAATATCACTTTCCAGTGCTAGGCAGCAGTCAAGCACACAACTGTTCAACTGACTAGACTGCCGTTATAGCAGGAGGTACTAAAGGTCTTCTGTTCTGAGCCTCGACTGATAGAGGCCTTGTACATTTAATTACATATAAATGTAAATTGTACATGCTGACAGCAGACTTACTACTTCTGACTGTGACTCTGGCAAACAGCAGACCTGTCCTCTCATCAGAGAGGGTGCCCCACATCAGCAAACCCACAACTGTCTGGCAGTAATAAAGATCTGGTCTTAAGCCACAGGTGGTTGCTTTATTCCAAGACAGACTGGCCAGCTGACCGTTGGTCATAACATGACTTTGACTTTGACTGAGAAGTCAGTCATAGAACGAGAATGAGAATTAAGCAAGTCCTTAGCAGTCAAGGAAGAAAGGTTTGACTGAAGATTGATTTTGAGTTATTTTAATTCATTGGGATTCAGCGGTATTGTAAATGATGTGTCAGTACATCCAGTCATCCAATCCAGAATTTATTATTAGTCATGGAACCATAAACTTGTGACAGTACTATGAAGCTTCAGACAAGGGTGCAGGAAATTCTAACTGAATGACTGCAGTTCAGTCAGACCATTGTGTGGGTTTGTTTCTTAAAAAAATGGAGCCATACTTTTCAACATGCCCTTGAATTCAGAGCATGAGAATTTCATCATATAACAGAATTATCTCTTGTTTGTAATTTTACTGCAGAGCAGTGATACAGTCAAAGTGAAAGATGATGATGATTTGAGCGAAAAAGATGCCATTGACATGAAAACTGAGGAGGTTTATACATCATCAACATTTCCCATAAGTGAGACCGAGCTCAGGGTGAGCCTTGTTTACAGAGGAATTTTGTTACGCTGGTTCCTGTAGGTGTGTGTAAATACGAATTGCAGGTACCATTTTGTCCCTGTCGAGATAAATTGGTATATTTCCTGTTGTTGGGGGGGGATGCAGAGGGGCTGTCAGATTATCCATTCTGTCATATTACGTTTTACCATAACTATGATCTTCTGTTTTGCTTTTTTGAATGTGCCATCAGGATACTGAACGCCTACTGCAGCATTGCATTTATCCTGTTCCATCACCCGTCCATGTTTGATCATGATTGATATTTTTATTTTTTTCGGTTTTAATGGAATTTTCATTTACAGTTGTTAATGTGGTTTGTCACATTAAGGGAAGAGGAAGTGAACATTTGGATGTATGTGGAGAAGACAGGACGTGTTGAAAGTCACATGATGAAGAGCTTGTTCTCATCATCAGTTTCAATTAGAATTATCAAGTGAAGTTTGGTGGGATGGGTGAGTCATGTAGCACACATATGAGCAATGAGACATGCTTACAAAATCGTCATCAAAATATTTGAAGAGGTGTCCACTTATGAGACATGTGAAAATAGGATAATATCAGTGAGCTTCTGATCTAGGGAGTTAGTAGTTGGTTGGTCAGTGGATTGGAAGTGATATTGTCATAAAGAAGAAATTTGGGACAAAACAGTTTTATCAGTTTGATGCAATGTATGCAGTTGTATGAAACTGTACACTTTTTCTTTTAATGTCAACAGAGCACAGACATTCATATCAGTACGGTGGTTTTACAGATGTGTACAGACATACTGAAAGATGAACCTGGTTTTTATAGTGAGTCATGTGTAACATCTCATGATGGAAATCAAGCCATTGATGTAAAATTTCGAAAGGACTCAGATATAGAAGAGGATGATGGTCCTGTTGCAATAACATTTCCTGCATTAAAGCCTGAACATGAGGTGAGTTTACCTTTTTACCATACTGCTGTATAGTAGCAGCGATGTTAACTTTTCCATACAAAGCTGGATTAAAGATAGAGATGGAGAAGTCAAAGTACTCACTCTAGGCTCTCTTCTGCATTAGCCCACTGTTGTTTTGATATCATTTTCACCAGTGGTGCCATCATCTTGGTGGCAGTCTCCTCATGTGACAGGAGTTGAACTGTTGTCGCACAGTAGGATGATGATGGCTCTAGGTTATCTTGAATTTTATCTGCTTTTCACCATTATGATTTCCGTTGTCCTGACATTTTTGTCATACCTGATGGTATTAAATCCTTCATGAATTTATCTTTTGACTTTGGCAGTTAGCAACTTAGCGATATGAGAGTAATCAGAGAACTGAATGACCCCTTCCTTAGGCATTTCATTGATGTTATATCACATTTCCATAACACAGTTTACAATATCAGTTGTCTGTTTTCAACATCTTCTAATGAGCAAGTGTGCAGAAACGGTGACACTCCTTTTTTTAATTTGGAAGCAGTGGTCAAGAAAAGTGGAGCCATACCTCCACTCCCCCATGTTTTCAAGACATAGTGCTTAAATAATTAAGCATGGACAATTTTACCTGCTTTGAATCCTAGTCTGAACACCTACTCTCCTGGCTGAGCTTTTTTTTTTTTGTGTGTTCCCAGTCTCCACACAAATATGATGATAAAAGAAAACAAATTAGGCCATGAATGCTTTTTCTCACATCCTTCCCAATTAAAACTATCCTCCCTTTGATATTATAAAGTCAGAGATATTAAATTAATCACAAAACACTGTGATCATCATTTTCAAGAGGAATCTGATTTAAGTTGCTTTCACATATTTTCTTCAGCCCTTGATTTTATATGCACTGTTTTCTTTATTAAGCTGGGGTAAAATCATTGTCCGTGTTTACAGTCTCAAGTAAGAGCTTAGCAAGAAGTTCCCCAACAGAGTGTTTTTCATAGTAACAACCATTCATTTCATTATGTGCATCAGCAGTTTTCTTTTTGCACCAAAACACGAGTTTCTCATTTAGCATAAATCCCACTTCATTTCCAGCACTTACTAATACAGAATGTGATGTGTGGATTTCTTTAATTTGGAAGGTCTGGTTGTTTATAAGGACACAGTTAAGCAGCGATACTTCCTGTAATTTTAAAATGAAGTTTTCATTATATGCCACTCCTAATGGAATCAGTATATACCACATTACTTTGAATATAAGACGCACAATTTACAAAATTATTCCTATTGGAAAACTGAGGTTCATCATAAATTTGAGGAATATTCAACTTTCTATCCCCCCCCCCAAATCTGCATTCAAAAATTGGATGCATCTTAAATTCATGGGCATCTCATATTCAAAGTAATACAATATCAGTTCTCTACTATTCACACTAGTTCCTTATCACTCTTGGTGACACCAGTGGACTCTGGGTATGTTCAGGATTAATTTTGAAAATGGAAGCGCTCAAAATTCATTTACCATTTGCTATAAATCATATTTATCATACTCACTGTCAATGCAATACTATTTCCACCAGATGGGGTCCCTGTCTAAGGCAACATGTCTCGGCACATACATACCACCTTCAGATCCTCTTTATAGTTATAGTTAACGTATACGCTATATATGATCAGGCTTAGCCATCATCACAGCAAATGATTTATAATCAGACAGTATTTTACAGATTGAATTTCATTTCCTGCTACATGTTTTGGTCTTCATGGGACCGACATCAGGCAGTAATATATGAATACGTCTATGGCCATTGAACTCCTAATATGGATCCATATTTGGTGCAACTTCTCATACTTATAATACTTGTTGTGCCTCAAGTTACATTATAAGTATTAAATAAAAGTATACCTAGGAATATATTAAAATTATTTTGTATATTGGTTTTATTCCTGTCTAGAAAACTGAAATTAATGGCTGTGGAGATTCATTGTGCTGACCATGCGACACCCTCTATCTGCTAAAGTTGGCACTAACTTTGCTGGCAAGTGGCGGTCGCTTGGTCAATATAGTTTACTTGTGGACTAAAACCACAGAGTTTGTTTTTATGTTGGCTTTATATTAAAGTAATTAAGATTTATTAAAATTTGTGTATGTTGTATGCTACAGTGGACTAGCTTGGCTATCACTGTTCATAGTTTAAAGTGAAGTTATAGATTTTTAAAGTTCTGTATGAATGCATAGCACTGAGTACTGACCTGTCTGTTATATCACAGCGATCGTTTGTTCTACTGTTCTCGCTGGGGTAGGTTGGCCTTGAGTTCCTGGTAGACACTATTGTTTGTGCAGAGCAGGGGTTGTGGTTCTGTATTTCAGCATCCCGGTGCAATTGTTCAAATTAGTGTCCATTTTTATCTTCCATCAAAATTGCAACACTTTTACATTCTACACTTCAACACTACATGTTTCGGCCTCAAACGGCCATCTTCAGGTGTTTTTATGTTACAGATGTTTTACTAAAACTGTTAAAACCTGCTACACTGTTTTAATTCATGTTAAAATCACACGCTGTAGTCTTCTTAAGTAAAACGAGATATAATCCTTTAAAATTTCTGTTGCATGTAGTGTTGAAGTGTAGAATGTAAAAGTGTTGCAATTTTGATGGAAGATCAACAATGGATGCTAAGTTGTTATGGTTGTTTGATGTTTTTATTGTGATAGTTCCATTTGAGGCATTTTAGTAGGCATTTTAGCCTACTTTCCTTATTGCTAAAAAATAAAAGTAGGCTTATGAACTCACTTTGCTGTCTATGTATGTATCCTGCCCATAACAACTTTTGAATGCCTGGGAGTGCCTTCATAGAACCCTCCAAATAGTAATACCAACATTAGAGCCTCTCAAATTGCGAGGCAAAACTAATATTCCGTGAATACTTCTTCCAGTCTTCATCAGACTTTGTGTATATCATGCCACCTGAACTCATCTCGGTGGTGTACTTCATAAATCCATCTCATCGGTAATACCAACACTGCATCCTCATATTGTTTAGGTAATAACCTTACTATCACTTGATTGGGTCATGTCTGCTGAAAGCTGGAATAGTTTAATCAAAAGAGATGTCCATTGCTATGTTATGGCACAATAAACAGTGATGCAACAGTGGAATATGCCACATAAAGTAACCAATGGGAGTACTGCTGGGAGCAATGTTTTCTGCATGCACTGCATCAGTAACTACATCATGCAACCATTAGTAGAGTTGAATAGTCCGCAGATAGCAGATGGAGACAGATCCGTCAGAGGTTGTCATAGATGGTTACCAACCCTTGTGGATATGTTGGAGGCAGAGGATTCCCCGTTGATAAGTTGTTACGCAGCAACGCCAAGTTTTGTGATAGATGACAGCCAGTGAAGACAGAATGCATAGAACATGGAAGCTGAGGAAGCTATGTCATTGGGAGTCATTACCAGGTGACAACCATTCAAGACACAGCAGACTGAGAAGAGTTAGTGCGTGCTGAAATGAATTTTAGAATGCGTGAAGTAGCAGTAGTGCTAGAGTTACTTGTAGTTATGTTCTGTAAGTGTTCATTAAATCCATTTACCAGTCCAAACCCTGTTTATAGTAACAAAACACATGATAATATATATCATTCCACCAGACCCCATCTCAGTGGTTTACATTCCAAACCCCACTCTTCAGTAATACCAACACTAAAAATTTTTTTTAATTCAATAAGCGGGGGGTGGACTCCAGCTGGGTCCACTCAGCACGGCGGCCACTGATTGGCCTATTGTAGCCTGCCCCAGGTGATTATGATGATGGAGAATTTGGTGGAATGAAGATTGGCGGGGGAAACCGAAATACTCGGAGAAAACCCCCCCCAGCGCCACTTTGTCCACCACAAATCCCACGTGACTAGACCTGGGATCGAACCCGGGAAGCCAGCGACTAACCGCTTGAGCTATGGCGCCGCCGTAATACCAACACTAAGCCTCTCATGTTGTTGAGGTATTACCATTAATGTTGCTTGAATGCCTGAACTGGCTGCCATGAAACTTTATGTGTATCATGCCACCTGAGGCTGTCTCAACAGCTTACTTAATAAATCCCTCTCATTGGCAATAATAGCACAACATCCTCTCAGATTGTCATATCTGTTTTGAAAGGAAGGTAGGTGAGTAGTTCTTCCCAGAACTTCTTGTTTCTTTGTTTTATATACATTTGTGGGATTTCTTGTGTACAAGTGTATATATACAGGAACCCCAATATTGTTGTGTTGACAGAGAATACAATATTATTTTAGTGACTTACACAACAGGCTGCAGAAAAATAAGAGTTTTGTTTTCAATGGAACATGTGCTTCTCATGGCATTGTATTAGTTAAACAATCTGCCTTTCTTGCTTCTAAGCATTTGTCCACTTGTATGCCTATCAAAGCAACATTAGCCTTTCCATAGTAATCCTCTTTGTGTCATAATGCCATAAGTTGTGGTATCTGTTTATTTTGAAAAAAAAAAATAAAGGCAGGCTTATGAGATTACCTTGCTGTCTGTATGTATCCCCCCCCCCAACAACTTTTGAATGCTTGTACCAGTCTTCATGAAATTGCCTCTCATATTGCTGAGGCAAGACCTGATATTGCTTGAACACCTGTACCACTCTTCATGAAACTTGGTACATATACATATACATAGTACATGTGAAGACATCTCAGTGGCGCACTTCACAAATCCCTCCCATCTGTAATATCAACATTACAGCCTCTCAGATTGTTGCAGTAAAAACCTTAATATTACTTGAGTGCCTGAATCAATCATCATGAAACTTGGTAGGCATAAGGCTGCTTTCAGACAAGACACACAGTGGCTGGGCACTGTCCAGTGACTGGAAATACATTAGCGTAAATACTAGTGTTCACACAAGCGTCTCAGTGCCCCACGTCCAAGACACTGTGTCGCCGCTGTGTCTTTCCCCTTCGGTGGTTGAGATACTGACTTGTGGTCTGGCCACTCGACGTGCATTAAGTTGTATGCTAGCATTAAGATAGGACATACAGAGTCTAGCGTCATTGATGAAATGGTGGATAAACATTTTGATACCTCCATCCGAATGACTGAGGGCAACATCAACGTGGGCTTCTGGCATCAGAGCCACTAAGTGTGCGTGTTGTGGCATTGAATGGCTGTGTCCCAGACACTAGTCACAAGCCACTGTGTGTCTTGTCTGAAAGCGGCCTAACCTGTCACCAGAGACCATCTCCATGACATACTTCACAAATTCCTCCCACCGGTAATACCAGCATTACATTACACCCTCTTAAATTGATGCAATAATAACCTTAATATTACGTTAATGCCTGAACCAGTCTTCATGAAATAAGGTAGGGTTATCCATCTGCAATACCAATATTACATCTTCTCAAATTGCTGAGGCAAAACCTCAGTGTTACCTGAATGCCTATCCAGTCTTCATGAAACTGTGTATATCATGCCACATGAAGCCATCCCAAGAGCATACTTCATAAACCTATCACCAACATCAGAGCCTCTCAAATTATTGAGGTAATCACCTTAATATTGCCTGAATTCCTTAACCCAGTAGTCATGTAACTTGGAATATACAAGTATATTATGCCGCCTTTGGCCATCTGAACGGCACACATCACAAATCTCACCTTTCGTTACTGCCAGTCTCAAATTGTATTGTTTTATTGAATTCATTATGAATACATACTAAAGTTTTCTTTCTGCTTGTCTTATCAAATAGTCAAATTACAGTGAAAGGGAAGTAAGCATTTAGTTCTATTCAGAACTTCTTGTTATTATGTGTATTAGTGCACTCTCCTGCAAGTATATACTAAGAACATTAATTCTCCAAACCTCTAAAATATCTTTTATATACAAATCTAAATTCATTGGTATGATGTAATATAACATATAACATTCTTGCAGCATTGCGGTAACTGTTACGTCAAACATCTAGGTTGTGAAAGGTGAAAAGTACACAGTTCTTCAACTACAGTGAGACCTCGCTAATTTGGATGCTTTTTTTTCTTCCTTATTGCAACCTTGATCACATTGCCATGACCATGACTACGACCACAAACGGCTGTGTGTAGCACTAACGTACCTAATGAATCAGATTAAGAGGACGAGAAGAAAGAAGAAACGTGTGATGTTCAAATTTTCGGCAGTGAAACAAAACTTGCATTCCATCAGTTTTGTAACAAATATTACCTAATGCTGAGGGGAATGAGGCAACATGTAGCAAAATAACAGTGCAAAAGATGAACTCAAACCAAAATGAGTTCATTTTTAAACAGGCTCATACTACTAAGTATTTAGGCTACCTAAAATGTTTTTGAGACTGATGTCAAAACTTATAATTATGCTTTTATGACACTTAATTTGTTGAATGCAATCTAAGTTTCAAAATAAAGTTGTATTGCCTAAAAAGACATATGAAGTCCATTTTGTAATGTCCCTTAATATATATTTAATATTACTTCTATAATTCAGACTTTCACTAATTTGGACAAGGGTTTGCTCCAAATTAATCTGAATTAGTGAGGTCTTACTGTGTTATAATTATACCACTGATAGCTTGCTTTGTAAAATGCTTCTTCTGCTATAAATATTTTATGCTAACATCTTTCCATTTATTTACCAGAACAACCTGAATGAACATCACTTCATTCCTGGTGATGAGTTTCCATATTCCTGTGATGTTTGTCACAACTCATTTACTCTTGAAACTACATTGAAGAGTCATTTATGCACACGTAGTTGGGCCCATCCATACACCTGTGATGTGTGTAATAAAACCTTCAGCAATAATGCAGTTCTGAAGGCACATAAACGTGTACACAGTGGAGAACGGCCATTTTCATGTGGAGTGTGCAGTAAATCATTCAGGCAGCAAGGAAGTTTGAAGGTGCATCAACGCGCGCACAGTGGGGAACGTCCATTTTCCTGTGATGTTTGTAAAAAGTCATTCACTAATAAAAATGTTCTGAAGAAACATCAGCGTATACATAGTGGGGAGCGGCCTTTTTCCTGTGTTATGTGTAATAAGTCATTCAGTCAGCAAAGTATTCTGGTGGTACATCAGCGCTTACATAGTGGAGAACGGCCATTTGCCTGTCATATGTGTAATAAGAAATTTAGGCAGCAGAGTAGTTTCAAGCGCCACCTAAGCATACATAGAACAGAGCAGCCATTTTTCTGTAAAGTGTGTACTAAGTCTTTCAGACAGCAGAGTAATTTGAAAGCACATCAGAGTGTACATAGTGGCAAGCGGCCATTTTCCTGTGATGTGTGTAGTAAATCATTCAGGCAGCAAAGTACTTTGAATGTGCATCAGAGCATACATAGCGAGGTGCGATTATTTGCTTGTGATGTGTGCAATAAATCATTCACACGGCATGGTAGCCTGAAGCTACATCGAGGTACACACAGTGCAGAGCGTCCATTTTCCTGTGATAAGTGTAATAAATCTTTCAGGCGGCATGCTCATCTGAAGGTACATCAAACTATACACAGTGCAGAGCGACCATTTTCCTGTGATGTGTGTAATAAATCATTTAGGTTGCAGAGTAATCTAAAAATACATAAGTATATACATTTTGGACGGCTGTTTGCCTGTGAAATATGTAATAAGGCATTCACTCATAAGAAAGTGCTGATGATACATCTGCGCAGACATAATGGGGAGCTTAAACATTCCTGTTATGTATGTTATAAGCCTTTTAGTTCTCAGAGTTGTCTGAAAAAACATCAACGCATACATAGTGGGGAGCGTCCATATGCTTGTCATATATGTAATAAATCATTCAGAGACCAGAATTATCTGAAGATACATCATCGAGTACATAGTGGTGAGCGGCCATTTCACTGTGATATGTGTGACAAGTCATTCAGTCAGCAAAGCAGTTTGGTGATACATCAGCGAATACATAGTGGGGCCCGGCCATTCTCCTGTGATATGTGTAGTAAGTCTTTCAGACAACTGAATTGTTTGAAGGTACATCAACGCGTACACAGTGGAGAACGGCCATTTTCCTGTGGTTTGTGTAATAAATCATTCAGGCAAAAGAGTTATCTGAAGATACATCAACGCACACATAGTGGAGAGCGGCCATTTTGTTGTGATGTATGTAATAAATCATTCAGCCAGCAAAGTAGTCTCATGGTACATCAGCGTTTACATAGTGGTGATCAGCCATTTTCCTGTGATGTGTGTAATAAATCATTCAGGCAGCTAAATAATCTGGTAGTACATCATCGCATTCATAGTGGGGAGCGACCATTTTCCTGTCATGTATGTAATAAGTCGTTCAGACATCAGGGTAGTCTGAAGAAACATGAATGCCTATGTAGTGGGGAGCAGTCATTTTCTTGTGATGTATGTAATAAATCATTCGCACAGCAGAGGAGTCTAAAGATTCATCAACACATGCATAAGCGGAAATGTCAATATTCCTAAAATATTAACAATCAAGTTTCTTCCGTCAAATGTGACACTTTTTTAAGTTTTCCACCTCGTCAGCACCTGCCTTACATGTTTCGGCTCACCACGGAGCCATCATCAGAGGCATTTATAGTAGAAAAAGAAATCACCAACACACAAAACTTCACTTTGTCCAAGATAGCCACGTTCCAGTTAATTAAAATAATTACAAATAGTTAAAATTACCCAGAATGTCGATTCACTAAAAGTTTTTCACACACCACAGTAGCTTCCTTATTTGATTCGTCGTTAATTCTGTAAAATTATGTTTCGTTATTTGAAGTAAGAATTCTTAAAATCCC